AATAAATAAAATTAAAAAAAAAAACTTCCTGTTTATTAATTTAAATACATGAGAAAGTTTTGAATAGATGGGGGAAGATATATGGAGGAAATTCAAATATAAGGAATAATAATGTCAGATAAGGAGAATGGAAGCAAAGGCAAGCAAACAACAGACCCAGAAATTCACAAGCAAGCCTACCTCCACCTCCCACAAGGAGAATCGATAAACAAAAATCTAGAGTATGATGTTTGCACGATGGTGTACTCCTGTAATCCCTGTACTTAGGAGACTGAGGCAGGAGATTTGTCATGATTTTAAGACCAGCCTGGACCTGCAAAGTGAGCTCAAGACCAGCCAGAGCTACACAAGATACTATCTGAAAAAAAAAGTATTGTGTTTGACAATACAAATAAAATGGGCAGATCTTGAAAATCCAGTCAAGGTCAAGAACTCAGATGTGGCCGGGGAGATGGCTCAGTAGGCTAAGCGCTTGACTAGCAAATGCAAGGATCTGAGTTCAATCCCCGGTTCTGCCAAAAAAAAAAAAAAAAAAAAAAAGTTCCCTTTCTGGGCTGGAGAGATGGCTCAGTGGTCTAAAGCACCTACTTAGAACAAGCTTAGCAAAGCATCAGGGACCGTGGTTCGATCCCCCAGCACCACATGCCAGCCAGCCCCGCCCCCTGGTGGGCTGAGCTGGCCACACACACACACCACACACACACTCTCTCTCTCTCTCTCTCTCTCTCTCTCTCTCTCTCTCTCTCTCTCTAATAAATAAATAAATAAAATTTAAAAAAAAAGAACTCAGATGCGTATGCAACAACATTGGTATGAGGAAAGAGGTATTGCTACAGACAGAGAAGACATAAAACATTGAATGTTGTTGTACAAATTCTGATAATTTAAATGTCCCAATGAACAGAAATATCTTCTAGGAAAATATGAACAATCTGAATGACTTAAATTATCAAAAGAAATGAATCTGAGAGCAGCTAGAGTCCCAAAAGACATCATAGCTTTACAAATCCATTTTCCCAAATCTTCAAGGAATAGACTCTTCATGTGTCATTTAAACTGTTGTAGAACTTAGAAAAATGAAAATTACACTTTTTTTTTTTTTAGGCTGAAATGATACATAGTCTGAAAACAGAAAACTGACCCTGTAGAGGTCCCAGAACTGTAGGATGCTGTCACCTCTCCGCCACAGAAGTCTTAGTAGGGCCTGGGTAGCTGAGGGTTCATGAGGGGCTGGATTCTCAAAGGGACACATGAATTCCAAAGCCCATGTCCAGTAAGAGTACAGGGTCTTGGTGTTAAACATGGACTCGGGTGGGAGATAGGTGAACCTATCTGATAAACTAGACCCAGTTATATCCTGTGTGTTTAGAGGACCCAAGAGAGTAAACCAAGAAATAGAATTCATGAGCTCAGTTAAGCTTTTAAAGAAGTGTTACAAATCAAGACATTTCTTACCCATCAGCATCACAGACTGAAAAGTAGTATGGAAGTAGGTTTTTGTTTTTGGTCCTCAGGGTGGAACTGAGGGCCCTTGCACTCCAGCTATATCCCCAGCCCTTCCTTTAAACGTCTGTTTTGAGATATGGTCTGGTGGGTTACCCAGGCTGGGTTCAAACTTACAATCCTCCTTTCACAGCCTCCCAGAGTGCTGGGGTTAAAGGCACATGCACCACCACCAGCCCAACCACACCTTGGTTTTCAAAGCAGCAGGTAGTAGGGCTTGTGTTTGGTTATGTGTCACTGTATGTAACTTGCCACAAGTAGCACTCACTGCATGCCATCACCCTGGTTATTTCTGTTTAGTGGAGCACCACTGGGAGACCATGACGGAAGCGATTCAGAACCACGTCAGCTCTCTGAACTGGGGCTACAGGGTGTCCTTGCGAGAGAAAGGGGTGGCCTACGTCAATTCCTTTGGAGAATTTGTGGGGCAGCATAAAATAAAGGTATTATCGGTTTTCATGTCTTGGTCATTACCTTTCCTGACCATGGTTTTTATTTGCCTAGAACTATAATTTCATGTTGCCAAGGGCAACAGCTAGCATGTGCACACATGCGTACACACAGCTCACAATCAGTGTGTGCATGTGTGTATACACATGGCACGTGACTATGCAGACATGTATGTTTTCCCTCAGGTTGTTGATTACACCTGACTGTTAAATTGAAAACATTGCAATTTAATGAATTCTTAACAGTTGTTTGCCTTTGATTTTGTTTCCATCTTAAAAGAGACAATGTTTAGACTAAATGGTTCGATATTCAAAAGACTAAAATGATTCAAAATTTTAGGGTAGATGAAACCTCTTTTTAAGTGAGACCTTGCTAATATTATGAGACCTACATATTGTTTATAAAAGTACTGATAAAAGTAGTACTAGATGGGACTGGCGAGATAGCTCAGCAGACGAAAGTGCCTGCTTAGGCAAGCTTAGGCAAGCGCAAGGACCTCGGTCTGATCCCAGGCACCACGTGCTGTGCCAGCCCCAGCTCCAGGGTGGGCTGAGCCAGCTAGAATCTGGGTGAAGTAGCACATGCCTGTAATCCCAGTGCTGGGGAGACTGAAAGTAGGAGGATCACCACAAGTCTGAGCTGTGTAGTGAGACCCTGTAACAACCAAATACATTTAAAAAAAAGTAGTACCAGAATCAGTGCATTATGTTTATGCTTATGATTTTATACATTATGAGATCAATACTAAAGAAAATGGGATTGTTTGATGAAGATTTTTAAGATTGGTGCTCTGAAAGACAGCTCCTGTCCTCAGGAATACCAGGTGCAACAGTCTGGATGAGGTTTTAGGTGATTCTGTGGTCAGCTGTCTCCTCAGCTGACCGAGGAGGCAGTGAGGGGTCCAGTAGGCTGCTTCTTTAAAGCTACTCACGGGCCAGTTTGAGTCACATCGCTCCTGTGAGATACTGTGGAAATCCAAGCTAATCTTATTTCTCAGACTGTGGTATGCTTGGGCAAAGATGGTTGTGTAGCCAGTCACACCCCACCTGCACGGCCTTGTCTGTGCTGCCCACGTGTGTCCAAGTGCTCAGGATGGACATGGGTTCATCCCTGCCCCCAGCCTCTGCTGGCTTGTCTGTTTTGGGGCCCTCCTAAGCAGACCCCTTTTCCAGGCTGCCCACTCTCCATCCCACCGAGCATACTTCTTTGGACCCTTTCCTTGGTATTTGAGTGATTTACATGCAAATGTATTTTGAATTATTCATTTAATTACAGAATATCAGCAATTGTCACTTTCTCATAGTATGACTTTCTAGTTCATGTGGGAAGGCATTCACATCTGGCTCTAATCTGTTTCCTTTCACTGAGACACAATCCTGCTCTACAGTCACTCCTGGCCGCCTACTTTTCCCTGACCCCAGTTCCTTACAGGCCTGTGTGTATGCACTTGATGCGTGCTCATCTAGGGCTCCATTCTTCCCCAGTCACCCCCTTCTCACAATTCTATGCCATCTGTGAAGCTGTCCTGGACTGGCTTTCTAGCCCACTACCCCTACCCCACTGTGATGCATTGGTTATTATTTGGTAAAGAACTTTAATGGGCATGTTTTGTTTTGTTGTCTTTTTGAGACAGGATTTCACTATGTAGTTCAGATTGGCCTTGAACTCACTAATGTAGTTCATGCCTGGGGCTATACCTGCCTCAGCCTCCTGAGTGCTGGGATTACAGGTGTGTACCACCACACCCGGCTATGTCATGTTTATCTTACGTGCGATAATTTTTGCACACGGTTATTGGTGTTTAATGAGAAGCTCTGAAAAGGTGGTAACTAGCCAGGGTGTGTCTCTGGTGCTCGTAGTGTTTGTCGAATACAGGAAGTTTACTTTTCTTTTTTTCTAGGCAACAAATAGAAAAGGACAGGAAACATTTTACACTGCCGCAAAATTTGTCGTAGCGACAGGTGAAAGGCCACGGTACTTAGGAATCCAAGGAGATAAAGAATATTGCATTACTAGGTAAGATTAAATAGAGCATTACATTATGTTTCCATTATTTTCTTCCTTATTGTACAGAAGATCTGAACTGGTGATAAATAAAAGTACAATGCAAGAATGACAAAGTTCAAGTAATAAAGCAGGGAATAAAATTAAGTAAATCATAAGTGGGAACATTTATGCACAACTCCGGATAGTTGCTGGAAGCGGCATGGGTGGAGGTCAAAAAGAAGTAAGTAAAAACTGTTAGCTTTAAGGTTAAGTGTTCAGGATCAGTACTCAGTGACAAACTCGCAAGGACGCTTCAGGGATTGAACTCAGGCCCTTGTGCTCGCCAGGGAAGTGCTTAGTCTACTGAGCCATCTCCCCGGCCCCTGGCACTGCTCTTAGTGTTTCTTCATTTACGCACTAAGCTGTAGTTCTGCCAACAGGATTGCCATACACAAACCTAGACAGCTCAGCTCATTTTCATTACCTAGGTAATCGGCTTTTCCTCTTTTGTTTTTCAGCGATGATCTTTTTTCTCTGCCATACTGCCCTGGGAAAACATTAGTGGTGGGTGCGTCTTATGTGGCTCTGGAGTGCGCAGGGTTTCTTGCCGGCTTTGGCTTAGATGTCACAGTCATGGTGCGCTCTATCCTTCTTCGTGGCTTTGATCAAGAGATGGCAGAGAAAGTGGGTTCTTACATGGAACAGCATGGCATCCGCTTCTTAAGAAAATTTGTACCTGTGACGGTAAGTCTGAATGGCGTTGGGAATTCCAGACTCTCGGCTGCTTGTCTCTCCACCCTCTGAGAGCTGCAGCTCAGGAAATGCAATCTCTGCCCCGGATGTCCTGGATGTCCTGGGCCTCGCAGCGGGGCAGATGCTGGTGCTCCATCCACAGCTTCTGCTCCGACGTTTCTCCCGGACTCCACCATTGGTGCTAACCACTGCTTACTGGCTGTCACCACTGCAGTCCCTTGTGAACATTTCACATTTAGCATGCCAAAGACAGAACTGTGTTTTCCACACGATGTGTTACCCAACTGACCTCTCTGTCCCATCCCAGTGCTCAGGGAATGGCACAGAGTCTGTGCAAGGCATTAATGCAGCACCTAGGAAGTCTCCCTCCATTTTCCCCTTTATGAACAGCCAATCTGTTCATTCACGTCTGCCTCCCCTTTATGAACAGCCAATCTGTTCATTCACATCTGCCTCCAAATTCTAGTATGTGACAGTTTTCTCCTTTCTCTGCCAGGTCCAAAGTCCTCAATGTCTGTATGTGTCTGTATGCACACACGTGTACACACACACACAGGTATTCACCCACAGGTGTGTGCACTCTTTTTATTTTTATTTTTTTAAATTTTGTACAGGGTCTCACTACACAGATCAGACTCATAGTGATCCTCCTGTTTTCAGCCTCCCAATCTGGGATTATAGGCATGTGCCACCACGCTCAGTCTCAATTGCCGTATCAGCACACCCTGGGGGCAGAGCCAGCACAGCATGCCTGGGATCAAACCCTGGTCCCTGTGCCTGCCTAAGCAGGCAGTTTAGTCCACTGAGCTATCTGACTGGCTCTTTGTGTGCACTCTTTGATCCTTGGTCCATTTGTTTTTCATCACCTCAGATGGAGGGATTGCATTATTTTTAATTTTTCTTAGGTTCAACAGTTGGAGAAAGGTTCTCCTGGGAAGCTGAAAGTATCAGCTAAATCCACAGAGGGAACAGAAACAATTGAAGATGTATATAACACAGTAAGTACTTACGTTATGAGCAATAAGTGGACAGAAATTAAATTTAGGGAAGAATTATATGAGGATTGTTTGGATAATTTATAAGACTGTATTGGGCCTGGGAGATAGCTCAGTAGAATAAACACTTGCCTGGTAAGTGCAAGGGCCTGAGTTCAATCCCCCGTTCCACAAAAAAAAGAAAAAATTATATGACTGTTTTAAGCACACAGAGTGGTTGAGTACTGACCTTGGGTTTTACCTGAGGAATACTGTGGTAGAGTACACGTACTCTTTGTGTAACTACACACAGAATAAACTCTGCAGGCACACATATCCAACTCTTATTGACACTAGCTTCTGCAGAATTGGATATTTTATACATATATTCATTTGAAAGTTTTTGCAGTAAGTATTAAATGTGTTTTATAATTTAAAAAACAATACATTTGGGGCTGGAGAGATAGCTCAGCAATCTAAGCACCTGCAAACACAAGGACCTGGGTTTAATCCCCAGTACCACATGCCATGCTGGCCCTGGAACCCTGGGCACACCGTGCCAGCCACCAAAACTGGGCATGGTGGTACACGCCTATAATCTCAGCACTGGGGAGGCTGAGACAGGAGGATCACTATGAGTCTGAGCTACCTAGTGAGACCCTGTACCAAATAAATAAATAAATGATTAAAAAAGCAATACATATATGTTTTTGGTATTGGGAATTGAACACAAGGTCTCTCTCACCTAGGGCAGGACTCTGTGGTCATAGGTGTTCTTTGATTATGATTCCAAACGGGGTTAATAGTTATAACTCTGTAGAGAGGAAGTGACATCTTCTGTTAGATTTATTCCTAGTTACTCGTATATTTATAAGTAGTTACAAATGGTATTTAAAAAATGTATTGTCTTTAACTATTGCTGGTGTCCAGAAAAGCTGATTTCTGTATTTTGAGTTAGTATTCAGTAGTTTGCTAAACTCTTAATCATTTACCTATAGATTATTTTCGATTTCCTCTGCACATTCATATTATTTACAAATAACAGTTGTATTCCTCCATCCTGCTGTAATTCTTTCTAGTACAATGTTGAGAAACAATGGCAATAATAAGAAATCCTGTCTTGTTCTCAGTGTCAGAAGGGAAGTTTTCAGTGTTTCTATTATTAAACAGTAATGTTTTCTCCAGGGTTTTCATAAATGACCAGTTAGAGAAATTCTTTCTTTTCTTTTTCTTTTTTTTTTTTTTTTTTGCCCAGTGGTTGTTTATTTTGTTTCATTTCTTTTAAAATTATGAATGGATATGCAATTGTTAGTGGTTTTTTATGGCTATTGATGATCGTTTTTTATTTATTATATCAGTGTATTAAGAGATGCTGATTTTCTAATGTTTAGTCAACTTTGTATCCGTGGTATAAACCCAACTTGGTGTTGGTGTTGTATTAGTTTGTTTGTTTGTTTGTTTGTTTGTTTGTTTTTTGGTGGAACCAGGGATTGAACTCAAGCCCTTGCACTTGCCAGGCAAGCGCTTATTCCACTGAGCCATCTCCCTGGCTCTGGTGTTGTATTAGGTTTTTTTTGTTTTGTTTCGTTTTGTTTTTGTGGCCAGCTCAGCCTGCCCTGGGAGTGGGGCTGGCACTGCACATGGTGCCGGGGATCAAACTGTGGTCCCTGCGCTTGCTGAGCTGAGCTATCTTGCCAGCCCTTGTATTAGATTTACTTACTTTTTTGTATCTATGTTTAGGAATCATATTAGCTCATAATTTTCCTTTCACACAATGAACTCTTCAGGTGCATCAAGGTGGTTCTCATAAAAGAAGTGGGGATTGTTTTTTCTATTCTATTGTCTGATATGTCTCTGAAGTATTATAATTCATTTCTTGGTTTGTTAGAATTGACTGATATAACCATCTAGGCCTAGAATTTTCTGTGGAGATGTATTCGAACAATTACTCAGCTTTTCTCATGATCAAAGGAGCTTGCTGGTTTTCTATTTTCTTCTTGTGTTATTTTTGATGTTATATTTTTCTAGGATTTAGTCCATTTCTCCTAAGTTTTCAAATACATCACAACAAAGCTCATAATATCTAACTTCTCAAAGTATTTATTTTTGCAATAAGGAATAATTTCTAAGTACTGAGTGCATTGATCTTAGATGTAGGGTTCAAGGGGTCCTGAAAAACACACATCTTCATGCAGTCCACACTCCCTTAGGGGCAGCAGTGCGGGTCTCTCCTCTGCTCCCTCCCTGTCTCCAGCCCTTCTGTCACTGTGGATTGGTTTCCCCTGCCCTCACCCTTGCAAATACAGAATTGTACAGTCTGCTCTTCAGTGTCCAGCTTCTTCTATTCAGGTTGATGTTTTTAGGGTTCATCTATAATGTCATGAGCATCCAGAATCTAACTTTAACCAGAGAAGCCATCTGGGCCTGGAGTTCATTATTTAACTTTATAAATTAAGAATTCAGTTTCATTAATAGATAAAAGCTATGTCAGTTTACTAGGGGTGTGCTAAGGTTTAGGTGTTAAATTATTGACAGCCCTTCTCTGTCCCCATCACAGGTTGGAATGTTTCTATTTATAATCCCAAAAGGAAAAGTTATCGGAGTTCTCATGAGTTAATTCCACTACCAATGCAACACATAGTGAGAATAAAGACTCTAAGGCACATTTGTAGTTGTGGGGAGCCAAGCGGTTCTAAGAGCAGCTAGGATGATGGGTAACTGGAATCAAGGCCTTGACTGAGGACCAAGCCCAGGTTCCATTAATTCATGAAAAAGGAGCGGCTGAAGATGAGCAACTGTGAGAATGGTGGGAAATGTGTGAATGCTGTGAGCTGGGTTAGGTAGAAGGCCTGAAATTGCCTCTGCAATGTGCAGAAAGAAGGATATGCAGAGGAGTAATGTGCATAACACAGTTTGAGGTAATAGCTAATTTTGGGGGTTGGTGCTTCAGTGCTGGTGTGTAATTTTTTATGAGAAGTCAAAGCCTCTTATGTCAAGGCTTGATCCCAGTGGACAGTGTGGAGCATGGCTTTCTCTCCTGCTAGGCTCACACTTCCTTCTTGGGAGCTACAGTGCAGCACAGCACCCTTTCCTCAAAGACTACACATCAGTACCTCACTAGACCTGCTTGCATTGCTTAAAGCCAACTGAGGGGATAAGGACAAAACTTAGCCAGCTGTGCACATATCAATACATGGAAGTAGGGCTAGGTTTAGCCAAAATGAAGATAACTACTCTCTTTCAAGGAGAGTCATCCAGGTGGTCCTCTACATTAAATGCCCCCCCCCCAAAGCCTGTGTGTGAACAGGTTAGCCCCAAGCTGGGAAGGTGGCGGGACTCATAGTATATGGAGCCTGATGGGTGAAAGCTAGGTGTCCCCTGAGAGGGATATTGGGACCCAGGACCATTCCCATTTCTCTGTCTGCCATGAGGTAACAAGCTTTCACCACTGTGCTCCCCGTGAAATACTTTGGCCCCACATGACAAAGTGATAAGCCACGTGGCCACGCACTGACACTGTTCTTGGCTTGCAGACAGCTACCTCCATGTGTGTCCTTTCACAGTGGCCTCCGCCTGAGTGTTGGCTGTGGCCTCATCTCTTCCCCGTAGAAGACCATTACTCATACTAGGTGAGAACTATGCTCATCAGTTTTCCATCTCTATAACAGAAAAGCCAAGGGGATCATCTTCAGAAGAGGAATGGGTTGTCTTGGCTCATAGTCTTGAAGGTTTCCATCCAGAGTGGCTTGGTCAGTTGCTCTTGGGCCTGTGACAAGGTAGTAATCATGGCAGAAGAAACTACTCAACTCATGGTAGTTAGAAAGTGAAAGAGAGGAAGAGACTATAGCCCCACAGTGTCCCTTGAGGGCAGCTGGTGGGCCTCACCTTTCAAAGGCTCCACCTCCTTCCATAGCACAACTGCTGTCACAGAAGACCTTTTCAAGGATATTTTCCAAACCATAGTGACCTCATTCAGCCTTAATACCGCTTTATACTTTATGGTCCCATTCCCAAATACTGTCACAGCCAGAGACACAGGGTTAAAGCTTCAACATAGATTTTGAGGGACAGATCAGCACCTAACGTAGACTTATTCAGACCTTTGTGTGTAAGATTGGTAAGTTGTATCCTTTCTTTTGCCTAAACTTACTGGTGTAGTTTGCCTGCAAAATTTAATTGTCATCCTTTTAATGTCTGAAGGATCTGTGGTGATGCTCCCCAAGTGAGTAATTTGCATTTTTCTCTCTCTCTGAAAACAGGTTTTGTTAGCAATTGGTCGTGACTCCTCTACAAGGAAAATAGGCTTGGAGAAGATTGGGGTCAGCATCAATGAGAGGTCGGTGTGTGGGGGCTGCACTTCATTCCTAAGATACAATACTTTAGTGCTCTTAGTTGATCTTACAGTAAATTCTGTGCCAGCTCTGCAGTCGGCCGATCATTAACTCTTATTATGTGCCTTAAAGAACCCATATATTTGACAGATTTTTAAAAAAGTTGTTGCGGAAGTGTATTCATTTAAAGATTCTTAAAAATAAATAAATAAATAAATATTCTTTCATGTGTCAATATTTATGTCTCTGGTCAGGCAACGAGAAAATTCCAAAGCTGCAAGGTGATGGTGGGAATTGAGTTAATCCTGGATGTTCAACAAGTATGCATGGCTTTACCAGAGAGAGAGGTTTTCTCTTGGAGCTGCAGAAAGCCTTGCTGTGTTAAGCCATTGATACTATGGATTATTGATAACCTGTGGTGCAAGAATTCTTTAGACAAAGGCCGTTTGTCTTTTGGAATGGTGTTCATCAGCAGTACAGTTGTTCATATTATATCTTTGACCTTTTCCTCCCTATTAGGAATGGCAAAATACCAGTCAATGATGTGGAACAGACCAGTGTCCCCCATGTCTATGCTATTGGGGATGTTTTGGAGGGGAAGCCAGAGCTCGCTCCTGTTGCCATACAGGCAGGCAAGCTGCTGGCTCGCCGACTCTTTGGGGCCTCTTTAGAGAAGGTAAGTTTCTTAACATCGGTGCTATGTCATTACACCCAGGTATACGTGTGTGTGTGTGTGCATGCACGCGCATGTATGTGCGTGCGTGTGTGTGTGTGTGTGTGTGTGTGTGTGTGGTTGAGGATTTAGGCCCAGGCCTCATCTGTGCTAAGTAGGTGCTGTATCAGTAGCTACACTCTCAGCTCTGAGATGGTAACATCTAGGGGCCTTGCCTGATAGCTCAGTTGTTTAAAGCGCCACATGGGAAAATGCAGTCAGGCACAAAGGACCGCGGTTTGATATGCAGCTCCAGAAGCTTCACCAGACCCGCCCTTCAGGCGGCTTGATGTAGCCAAAGGGGGGGAAAATCCTCAAATTAAAAAAAAAAAGAGGTGGTAATATCTTGATCAAAATTATGATGTAAAAAAATCAGTACATCCCAGGGAGATATTGGCATGAGTGCCTGCCTGGCAAGTACAAGGTCCCAAGTTCAATCCCTGGTACCACAAAAAAAAAAAAAAAAAAAAAAAAAAAAATCAGTACGAGTTACACTGCGTTCTTGTTTTCTGTCTGTCTGACTGACTGACTTTCTTTGTTTTATATGTAGTACAGGGACGACAGGGTCTCACTACATAGATCAGACTCAGAGTGATCCGCCTGTGTTCAGCCTCTCAAGAGCTGGGATTACAGACATATGCCACCACGTCCAGTCTTAATCGCCATCTCAGTGAGCCCCAGAGGCAGGGCTAGCCCAGCAGGCCTGGCCCCTGTGTCTACCTAAGCAGGCACTTTAATCTGCTGAGCTATTTGGCTGACCCAAATTAGAGAAGGGTTTGGTTTGGTTTTTTTTTTTTTTTTTTGCTAGCTCAGACTGCCTTAAGGATAGGTTTGGTGAAGTTGTAAAGCTGGGGATGCAACTGCAGTCCCCTGTACCTGACTGACTCTGCCCAAGCAGGCGCTTTAAATAACTGAGCTAACCCGCAAGCCTCCTGTTCTTGTTTACTAAGTAAAGGGGTCCTCAGGTATAATTGGCAGTTCACTTGCGATTTATTCATTATTGCAAGCAAATATTTTATACCATGGCCAAGATGTTGCATTGGGTGATAGAAAATCCTATGGCTTTAGCCCCAGGGCTTCCTGGGGGGCTGGGGGCCCCAAGTCAGACAGGCACAGAGGGTAAGAAGACAGAACATGATTTTGTGCTGGAGAGTGCTTTACAGCCAGGGCCATTGGCTCCTAACCAGAAGGATGGAAAAGTGGATGGCTGCTTGTGACAGAGTGGAAGGTGCACATGGTCAGCATGCAGGCCTGGCCCCCGTACCTGCTCGGTGTGTGCACTTTACAGCCAATGGCCTTTCACCACTTGGGTGTCCTCATCTACCAAGCCGGCAGTATGACTCTGGTGCTTCACACTTCTCATGTTCTTGGACCCAGTGCTCACAATGGGCTCTCTAGGCTGAGTGCCTCAGGGGGGAGAAAGCGGAGGGCTTTCCTGGTAGGTGGGTGCCTCAGCTCAGAGCACAGAGATGCAGGGTTCTGGATTGTGCTGAAGATGGAATACTGTCTCAGAAGTGACCTCCAAAGCACTGCTGCTCTAGGGGTGGTGGAGACACCAGGAGAAGGCAGATGGGAGCACCTGGGAGGCCCCTGCCAGCCTTTGTTGGAGCATGAGGGGTGCTGATTGTGCCTGCCCCCTAGGAGGAACCGCCCATCTACTGTGCAGAAGAGATAGTCTAAGATGTGGAGAAAGTGTTGTGGGAGAAAGGATGCAAGTTGAGCAAGTTTTTGCTGATTTTTCTTCATTAATATGGGATGGGAGGAAGAGGCCGTGGGACATGGGCTCAGCGGCCAGTCAGTCCATGGGTCGGTGAGGAACACAAGCCCAAGAGTAATGAAACACTGGTGCGACTTTCTCCACTGTGCATTTGTCAGCCTTGCCTCACTGTGACCAAAGATTTGAGACCATCAACTTAGAAGAAGAAAAGACTTGTTTTGATTTCTGGTTTCATTCCCAGGCTCCATGGGTCTGTGGAGAGAGGTAGCATGGTGGGGTGGGCATGTGAGGAGAGGCCAAGTTGCTTACCTCATGAGATCCAGGGAGCGACAAGAGACAAAGGGCCCGAGTCCAGCACCCCTGGAAAGGCCATGTCCCCAGTGACCTAGCTTTCCATAGGCCCTACTGCTGCTAAAGTTTCCACCCCCAACAGTGCCACTGACTTTCATATGTGGGCGTTTGGTTGCCATTTTTTATTTGAACCACTACAGCTGTATTGGACAAGGAAAATAGATGCCCAGCCTGCCATGGTCTGCACATGGACCAGGGCAGGGGGATGAGGGTGTATGAGTTAATAGACTCAACTGATGGGGAAGCTGCTTTGTGTGGTCCACAAATTGCTCCCTTGATTTAGGGCTACCTAGTGGTGTTTTTTGTTTCTTTTTAGGGTAACAAAGACTAGAAACTCAATGTGGCAGCTTGAGGGAGTTCATCCTAAAGGTCACAGGATTCAAAGGTAGACACATAGGTCACCATGCTCAGTGGGTCTGTAGATTTGGGCAGATCCAATTCCTTGTCAGCAGCAGTGGGCTGGGGACACAGTTCCAGGAGCACTGTTGTCCTTTGAAGGGCTGTGGCAGGCAGGCCCTCTCCCCCTTGTGCTGTCACCACCAGAGTGGTCCAGCCCTGGTCCAGAATTCAGAGGCCCCTGCCCCCCAGGTTGGCCTCTCCTGTAGGCTGCCTGCAGTGCCATCACTCTCCTCCAGGCAGAGCTGCGTGAACTGCAGAGCCAGTCTTTCATGCAGTGTCTGTCCTACCCTGATGCTATCTGATGCGACTCCACTGTCTTAACATGCACTCATCCTGACCTTGAGGTGTCTGTGCACCTGGCACCCATAAGCCATCTCCCCTCATGGTCAAGGAACAGAACTCAGCCCCACCACTGGGTGGCATTTCTGTTCTCCAGGGCACAGGAGTGTGAGTGGCTGGGTGGGCTCAGCGGCCCATGCTCGTGGCAGAACTCACGGGCAATCGGAAGTACTCCGGAAGGACGGAGTCCAGAAGAGCAAGATGGAAAGAAGCATTTGGGGGAGATTCTTCGGAGCAGTGAAGCGGTTCCACCTCACCCCTACCTCCTGGATTCAGCCTTTGAAGTCTGGACTGGGGGGAGCCAGTCCTCGGTGTTGGTAGCTGGCCAGTGCCTGGGCCTAGCCTTGAGTGAGGGGCACATTATTGATCTTTGTCAGTGTAACTAAAAATATCTAGAGGTTAGTGATGCTGAACCAGGTGTGGTGGCGCACACCTGTAAGCCCAAGACATGAGAGCCTGAGGTGGGGGATCACTACAAGTTCAAGTCAGTGTGAGCTGCAAAATGAGACCCTGATTTTAAAAAATGGTGATATTGTAAGAATCAGTTACATTGAACTGTACTGATTTGCCTTTTCTTTTATAAATATTTGTATTATACATTTTTGCTGAAAAAGGTGTCACAACATAAGGAAAATTATATTTTCTTACCTTTCAGTGTGATTATATTAATGTTCCAACCACAGTGTTTACCCCTCTGGAATATGGTTTCTGCGGATTATCTGAAGAGAAAGCCATTGAAGTCTATAAAAAAGAGAACCTGGAAGTAAGATTGTATTTTATTGTTGCCCCTTTAAGAATCACCCTTCTAAGCAACTATTTCTCTTTTCAGTATCTTCTTATGTCATCATTTTGCAAGTTACTATACTGTTTTATTTTAAGAAATTCTATTCTTATTATAGGAGAATTAGAAATTAATATAAACTGTCCCTGTAGCAAACTAATACTAAGATTGCAGCTGGGAGGGGCTGGTGAGATGGCTCAGTGGTCTAAAGCACCTACTTAGAACAAGCTTAGCAAAGCACAGGGACCACAATTCAATCCCCCAGCACCACATGCCAGCCAGTCCCACCTCCTGGTAGGCTGAGCTGGCCACACACACACACACACACACACACACATAAATAAATAAATAAAATTTAAAAAAAAAAGATTGCAGTTGGGAGAGAGGGAAGTCCAAGTTGTTCAGGACTTCGAGTTACGAGGGTCTGGGTCCACCTGTGCAAGCGTGGGCCCAAAGAAGCAGCACGTCAGTTTAAAGTCTTTGAGGAGTGTCAGGGCAGAAACACATGCCAGCCAGGAAGGAGCAGAACTTGGGACCAAAAGGTGGGCTCATGTTTTCTGTGACTTCCGGAGCTCATGTATCTATCTGTGCCCCTGGGCAGTTCATTCTTCTGTCCTGTGGTCGATTTGATCTGCTCCTCAGAGCACATAGCAGCCGAAAGACAGCCTTCCTTCTGCTTATGTTTGTCCGGGAGCTCTGGTCTTTGAGGACTCATCTGGGCTCACTGCTGCTCAGCCCTGGCTCGACCACATGGGCTAGGAATCTTTCCACTGCGCAGGCATGGCCAAGGTGACAGCCCCAAAGTGGCCTTCTGCCACAGGCTATTGAGGTAGCCAAAAAGATGTCCTCTGCCCCAACCCTGCCCAACACAGTAACCTAAAAATAGCTTTTTATGTTATTTTTCGGTTAGTGTTTTGGCCTTTATTTCTGCTTACCTTCCCAATATAGAAGAAGGAGAAATAAAGAGTTTGGCAGTTATTAATGCTTGATATTTTAGCTTTCTAAGCTTATTAAATCATATAGTGTGAAATTAGGAAAAAGATGAGATGGGTTACTGTACTTAGACTAGGTAACAGAGGGGAGGCTACTCCACCCATGTCCCTTAGCCAAAGTTCATGGATCCTGTCCCTCCCTTCACATCATCAGGCTTCCCAGCTCTTGCTGTGACTTGAATGGCGCAGTTGTGTCCAGAGCTGCTGCCTTGGCGCCGTGGAGTTGAGTAGGGCCCTTGCAGCCTGCAAGGAGCGCCTGGCAGGGAGGCTTGTGCATTTCAGTGAAGTTCTGTGTTTCTGGAGGCGCCGGGCACTACCGTCCCACAGCACCCGTGCTCATGGTTAGGTTTGGTGTTGCGAGACTGGCGATAAGGACGTTGTCCCCCACACGCATAAGCCATGCCCTTCAACTGCTGGTCTCTGCTTCTGGTTCCTGAGTGGCCAGCACAGAGGCTGTCAAGCTTTGAGCCCCAGAAAGCTGAAGTGACATTACTATGGCCTCACCGCCCTACAGGAGTCAGACACATGGGAAAATCTGTGTCAGGATACCAGCTGACCACAGAAAAAACAGCAGGAGCCTCAGCAAGCTCGTACAGCAGTGAGAGCACACATTGCCAAAGAGTGAAAAACTCAAAGGCAACACTGGTCTTCCACAAGTAAAGCCGAGCAGTCCCTTAGGAAGGTACATGGGACTTCCAGAGCCGCCATAGCCTGTCACCCAGCTGTTCAGCTCTCAACCAAAAGCAGCAAAATCAGCATATTAGTTTGCTCAGGCTGCCCAAACCACAAACTGAGTCACTTAAACAAGAGATTGATCATCTCACCTTTGGAGCCTGGGAGTCTGAGATTGAGGTTGAATGAGGTCATTCCTTGTGAGTTCAGCAGAGACCTGGGTTTCCCTACTCTGCAGGCTTCTGCTGGCTGTTGGTGTCCTTGACATGCTGTTTGTCCCCATAAGTCTCCTTGTGTGTGTGTCTTTTATAAGGACACTGGTTACATTGGATTAGGGTACCCCCCTTACTCCAGTATGACTTCACCTTAACTGATAACATCTACAGTGACCCTATTTCCCCAGGGAAAAAAGTCCCCCTGAGGTATAGCAGGCTGGGAATTCAGCATATGACTTGAGATAACTTAGACATAGTTCATCTTATAACAGTGTACAGAGATGAGGAAAGTAAGCCCCATTCATGGAAACATAAATTTATTAAAAATTATAGGGGTAAAAAAAAATTATA